CAAGAACTGAATAATAATATTTCATTCATTTTTAAATTTGTTTCATGTTTCCTAATCAAGATGGAATCGGTTTCATAGTTTATAGCCAAAATGAAATTGGTTTTATTAATGAAAACAAATATGGTTCAGTCAATGAAACATTTCAAGACCAGAATATTATTATTTCATTAATGAAACTAGTTTCATGGTTCCTAACTAAAATGAAATTAGTTTCATTTTTGAAACATTTTGAAAACAGTATAACATGGTTTCATTAATGACATTTGTTTTACGAATGAAAACAAAACAATATAATCAAAATTTGTAAAATATCACAATTATATTATTAATAAATCAGTAACTACTAGTGAATTGAAAAAAAATACCGATTATTTTGTTATTATGACAATGAAATAAACAATTTAATAAGAAATAAATTATTACAAAGAGACTTGTAATTGATGTAGTATTTTTAAATTAATAAAATAATATAAAATATTAATGGTAATAATTATATATTAAAATAAATTGATTTACAGCTTCCTTAAAAACAATTACTATATATAATATTTCATATTTAAAAACAATTAAAACATTACCAGGATTAACCATTACAAAATAAAATAACATTTATATCCTTATTCATTACAAATAAAAAGAAAAACATGAAATTATTTTATTGGTTGATGGTGGTTTCTATAGTTTGTATAAAATAGACGATTTACAATCTAACCTCCCTCTATACACACACACACACACACACACATATATATATATATATATATATAGAGAGAGAGAGAGAGAGAGAGAGATATGTGGGTTATTGTGCAACCCTTTATATTTGTACAACCAATATAATTCAATCTCAACCGTCCATTTAATTTGATGAATATGTGATTTCATAAAAGTTTTTATTATTTTCTTAATATAAAGTATTCATCATAATTAATAAACTTTATTCATCTTCCATAAATATTAAATATATATATATTTATGGAAATGATGAGAGTTTATTTATATAATTTAATATTTATGAAAGACCAATAACGTTCATTAATTATGATCAATACTTTATATTATGAAACAATCAAAACTTGTATGAAATCACATATTTATCAAATTAAATGAACGGTTAAAATTGAGTTGTATTGGTTGTACAAATGTAAAATGTTGTATATATATATGGAGGTTCAGGAAAAAACTATAAAAAATGAAAAACTAAAAAACAACTCAACAATTGTTAAGTAAAAAAAAAATCAAAGGTCTAAATTAAAATAACATATTTTTAAACTAGAAGAGTACTCGTGCAATGCAACGAGATAAATCTTGATTTTGATGTTTAGTTTTTAATCTTTGTTTCTATCGATATAATACGATTTTATGTGGTTTTGATAACAACAATATTTATTCTTGAATAAAATATAAATTTGAAGATAACATAAAAATTTGAAAAAAAAAAATCAATATTAGTATCAAATTAATTATTTAATAGTTCTCATTTTTTTGGTGTAATTTTTTTAATTCATTTGTTTATTATAATTTAATTTAGATTTAATAACAAAGTAATTTATTTTTAGTTTAACAATATATATTTGTATAAATATAATAATTAAACATTTTGTTAGAACTTAATGATTATCTTAATTATATTATAGATTTGTTATATTTAAAATAGATGTTTATCTCGTATTTGATTATTTTTATTTGCAGTTAGTTACACGAATTTAAAAATGTAGCTTTAATAAGTTGTACATATACAAAATTACTTGTAATCTTGAACTTTAAGTAATATACATCAATAAACAGTATTTCATGCATAAAAAATGTTTTTTAAAAGTTTTTGTCAAATACTTTATAATATAGTATAGATAAAAGAAAAGTTAAGGTTATTTAAGTAAACTTTATGTGGATTTGGGGGTATAATTCAAAAAAAAAATATATAATTAATTTTTAAATTTATTTTAATCCCCAATAATTAAGGAAATAAACTTTCTCCCCCAAACCCCCCCCCCCCCCTTTTTTTTTCCTCTCAATTCTCCAACGTTACCAAATGTTTAATGACGATGAAGTGAGGAGTATCTAAACGGGGAAGATCACTCAAGCTTCTTGTTATAGAATTATTTATGCTTTAATGTGATTTCGAGTCATTTTTAGTTTTTTCCTTGTGGTGATAAGAAACATTGGTGGCCTGGAAGATTATGCACGCGTGAATAGGTAACAAGATTCAAACATTCATCTATTTTACTCTTGTTTTATGGGTTTATCCATACATGAATATGATGAAATCACAATTCACAAGCTTATGCAGCCTAAAAATTGAAAGACACTGAATATGGTGTCTCATTCACATGTGCATTCAGTCAATAAAATAGAAGGACATTGAATTCTATGTTTCATTCACATGTGCATATAATGCAAAATTTGAAAAAAAATGAGAATTTGGTGATTCATTTACATGTGCATTCAACCCAAAAATTGAAGGATGTTGTATATGAAGACTCATTCATACGTGCACACAACCCATAAATTAAAAGACAATGAATTTGGTGATTCATTCACTCGTGCATGTAACCTAGAAATCGAAATACAATAGATACGAAGATTCATTCACATATGCAAACAAAAATTGTATGAAATAATCAGTTGGAATTTTTTTGTAGATTGTTGAATTTTTTTTTGTAGATTTTTAGAGAATTAATGTAATTTCCATAATTTGTGGTGACTTCCTTTAATTGAGAGATTTTAATAAAATAGAATGATTATCCATTAATGAAATGGACCATTTTGCTCTTTTTGCATTTAATAAATTGTTATATTTAATAATCATTGGATTAAAGTAGATTAATGTTTATTAAGGTAGTCTTCGGTTTTTTTGTTTCTTTGCGGTTTTCACCCGAACCTGACCCCCTCTCTCTCTCTCTCTCACACACACACACACATATATATATAGGGTCGGGTTGCGGTGAGAATGAGAGTTACGGTATTGCATGCACATTAGGATGTGATGCACCGAATCAATCTCCGTATCAAATGTGATTCATAGATGAGTTTTGAGATTAAAGGTGATCAAGGGTCCATATCCCTTTCTTACGCTCCTCATTTTAACTTTTTTTCTCACACGATCTTTTGTGTGTGTGTGTGTGTGTTTATATGGGTTTTGTTCACGTGAGACCGACCTGTTTTCGTTAGACCATATTTTTACACTTGAAACTTCACAGAAAAACATTGTGAAGGTAAAAAAAAATCTGAATTTTCATAGCAAAAATACCGTGAAGGTTATGTTCACAATATTTTGATGTGAAGTTTCAAATGTAAAAAAGTGGTCTCATGAATCTCATGAAAACAGTATGGTCTCACATGATCCCACGTGATGTTTATATTTTATATATTTTATAAAATTATATGTTATAATATATATAAAAATTATTTTACATTTATATATTTATATTTTATATATCTATAAATTATATTATATTTATGTTTTATATAAATGCATATTGTATTTATATTTTCTATATAAATTATATTTTATGTGTTTTATATACTTGAACCGATGCAATTTGTATAATGATTTGATTTAGCGTTTGTACCATAAATTATTTGATTAAATTGTACAATTTTTTTTATTAACCTGGACATCCAACCCACTATGCGAGCTGACTAATTCCAGGGCGACCACATGCTTTGCAGCTAGCCCGGAGTCACCGCATTTGAACCTCCGTGTCCACAAGAGGATTTTTATTCCTCCTTGAATTTGAATCTGAGACCTCCTGATACTTTTGACCTTTTGAGTCAAGCTCAAACCAATCAGACACCACCCTTGTGGTTAAATTGTACAAAATTGAGACTTGTATGTTGGGGTTTTGATATTTAATTTATAAATAGTTTAAAATTTGGATGGGAGTACATGCTACGAAAGATAGAGCATACATTCACGATGATTGTTTTGGGATTTAAAAAAATGCACCAAATATTATCATGAATACCCCTACTTGATAACTCAACCAAACGTAAGTCAAAAATAAGGTCAAATAAATCAGTGTAGATTATATAACGCATTTAATATATAAAACAAAAGCAAAGACCATCGATTTATATCTGGTTTTTAGCTAAAAACAAGTTTATTCAAATTTGAATTCAATTTATGAATTTGAAACGTATGTCAAACAATTATTTTTAAGTATCAAACTCAAGCGAATATTAGGAGTTGTTTGTTTACTTCTTAATAGTTTCATTAAGAAGCAGTCTCTAAATCGTTAAGATGTGAATCTTGTTTGACAAAAAGAAGTTTGCCTCTTAATGGTTCTAAAACTATCCGAATGATTTTGTATTATAGACCTCTCTTAACCATTCAACGCCCTAATTTCAATATAAACAATTGTCAATCAATTATATTTCATTTTGTACCATATCATAAGAGCCTCTTAATCATTCCAGCCACTTAATCATTCTGAACAAAACCATTCAGCAACTGGCAAACAACCGCTTAATATGTAAACGACTGATTTATCAAAAAGGAATCGTTTAAAATTCATCTTGACTAGTTGATGTCTCTGTCTTAACATTTATTCTCTTATACTTTTTGGGTGGATATCTTAATGGAAAAAGGAATATATACAGATATTTTTCATTTTAAAGAATATACAAATTCAGTCCTTCATTATATATACTAATTTTCACCTTTAGTGTTTTAAAACTCTCAAATCAGTATTTGAAAATATGTTCGGTATGTGGAGGAGCTAGAATAGGATTAGACCAGACAAGATAGGACAAGACAGACGAGAATAAGACAGATTGCAAAAAAAATTGTATAAAATTTTAAGATTTTAATTTAACATAGATAATTTAATAATTTATCATTTAATTTTGATGGGATAAAAAATCATATTTTATCGTGGAAAAATACAAAAAAGCAGGGTCCGAATTGGGCCGGGCCCAATGAACCCGATCCAACCCGTGAAATTCGCCACTCGGTCTCCCTAGTCTCATTTCTCGCCCACGCCGTCGAGGCTCTCGCCGGTTACTCCCTGAAGTAGACGCCGCCCTTACGAATCGTCTCTGCTGCTGCCTTCCGACCGCTGCTGGTGGCCTACTGCCGTCACTGAAAGTCGATCACTCCATTCTGTTCCTGTACTCATCTCTCTCTATCTGCACATTTACATTTATGTTTAGATTTCTACTCCTCGAATTTCGTATTTATTAAATGCAAAAAATGCAATGAAGTGATTAATTGAAAGTAGGCACTGGGCACTTCCTTCAGCACGCTCAATCACAACTTCAAAACTTTAATTAGACATGTGTATGTTATATGTGCTTTTAATTTCATGAAATCACGGAAGTATTTAAGAAGATTTGTCTCAATTGGAGATAGGCAGTTGAATGAAGTAAGTTTGATCGGGAATCTCGTAACTGTTTCAAAAGGAAAAAGAGGAGTTAGGGTTGAAATTCTATTGTAAACTAGAATTCAAAGCAATAAACTCTTTAACGATTGAAATTGAAAATCTGAATTGCATGAATACTTGGAAGCATAAGGCTAACACACAGTCGAAGCTAATCACATTATTTTGAATACACAGAACACTTGTGACCATCTGGGCTAACAGAAGGCTACAGAATCACTGCAAGTTAGTGTATGCAAAGCATGCAATATAACAGTTTTGGAGTCCAGATACAAATCCTTCAATTGAAGTAAAATTTACTGGAAGATACGGGTTTGTGTAGTATATGCATGATGAAAAATTATTTTTATTTTGAAGAATATAACTAGTGGTAGTAGATGAACAAAAAATGGTTTTAGAACAATCTATATATATTTGGATCACAGATCGTAACTAAATTTCACAGCTGCAGAAAGTAATGGCTTTCTTTATCTGTTTGTTTTTTGGAGTGCAGAAAGTAAGATTTTTCTAATGGAATTTATCTGTTTCTTTCTTTGGATTGAAGAGAATTCACAGAGGCGTTTTGCGTTTGCCATCTTCCTCCCTTGCTCGAATTGCGGATTCACCATCTCCTTCTCTAAAATCTCCCTCCCTTTGCAATCAGGTACAATGATTCTCATCATCTCAACTGATAATGGGTTGATTTCTTCTATATTTTTAGACTTGTAGTTCACGGTTTCTTTTTGTTCTTCTAATTTTTTCAGTTTAGGCTTATGCTGTAATGGGTTGAAATAAATTTATGGTTCCAAGATAAACATACACATTCTTTGATAATCAAAAGCTCCTCTTATGCTTATGCGGTGCATTACTATAGTTAAAATTCACCTGTGAAGTTGTAAAGCCCCTGAATTTTTTCAATAGTAAATTCATAGCTTAATTTCATTCCAAAAATGTTCCATTATAAAACACACAGCAGATTGTTAGTCTTAAAATCTTAAATAGAGATCTTGTTGAGATATCAGTGCTTTTAATTGAACAATTAAGCCTCATTTTTATGCATTTCATAAAGTATAGTTCTTGAATATGTTGTTGCAAAAGTATTTGTGTATGCTAATTCATGAATTTTCATCTTAGTAATACACTAATATATGAACCTTATCTGCAATTACTACGCTTCCTAATTTCCGAACTCTTGTCACTTTTTTTGACAAATGAAAATACATCGTCATTAGTTAATGGAAGTTGAATCTTTTCATTATTACAGAAAATTTATTCAAGCAATATGGCCTCATCCTTGGAGATTACAGCTGCAGAGTTCTTACAGGTATGTGCCACTTTGCTGTTCTTTTGATTTTCTTGAAGTGTATTAATTGGTGTGAGATCACTAGTAATATGTGTAAGTTTTTTTTTATCGAAATTCCAGGGTTCAAGTCATCATAAGTTTTTCTTGCCAAGAGCTTTACCAAAGAGTAGAAGTTCCCATTTTCTTTTTCGTTCATCTCAACGCAAAAGAAACGATTCGTTGAGAATATCCAACCAAGGTGTTCGACGAAATGCTTCTAAGAAAGTCAAGGCTGTGGTATCAGTAGATGCACAAGAGTTGGGAAATGTAGACAAGTCTGCTGCTGAACAAGTGATCCATTTTTATAGAACTCCCTTGATTCAAGAAAGTGCGAGTGAGGAGTTACTGAAGTCGGTTCAGACCAAGATATCCGATCAAATCGTGGGTCTGAAAACAGAACAATGTTTTAATATCGGGGTTAATGGGAATTTGTCTAATCAAAAGCTTTCAGTGCTTAAATGGCTTTTACGTGAGACCTACGAGCCTGATAATTTAGGGGATGAAAGCTTTATCGCTAAAGAAAAGAAAGAAGGGTTCAACACAGTGGTAGTTGAAGTTGGACCAAGATTGTCTTTCACGACAGCATGGTCTGCGAATGCTGTTTCCATATGTCAGGCTTGTGGTTTATCAGAAGTAAACAGATTTGAACGATCAAGAAGATATCTTCTGTATACTAAAGCCGGAAGTGTACCGCTTTTAGATAGTCAAATTGATGAGTTTGCAGCGATGGTGCACGATAGAATGACCGAATGTGTTTATCCCAAGAAACTTGTTTCCTTCAAAACAAGTATAGTTCCTGAAGAAGTGTATTACGTCCCCGTTATGGAAAAGGGGCGGAAAGCATTGGAGGAGATTAACCAAGAATTGGGGTTGGCTTTCGATGAACAAGATCTACAGTACTACACTAAACTWTTCAAGAACGATATYCARCGGGACCCTACAAATGTYGARCTCTTTGATATTGCACAATCGAACAGCGAGCACAGCCGACACTGGTTTTTCACTGGAAAGATTGTTATAGATGGTCAACCGATGAATCGGACTCTAATGCAGATCGTAAAGAGCACTTTGCAGGCGAATCCTAACAATTCTGTAATTGGGTTCAARGAYAATTCCAGTGCAATCAAAGGGTTTYTGGTGAAACAGTTGCGCCCTGTCRAGCCCGGTTGTACATCTCCGTTAAGCCTGAGTAATCGTGATCTTGATATTCTGTTTACAGCCGAGACCCACAATTTCCCGTGTGCGGTTGCACCTTACCCTGGTGCAGAAACTGGTGCCGGAGGTCGAATAAGGGATACACACGCAACGGGAAGAGGGTCTTATGTTGTTGCGTCTACGGCTGGTTATTGTGTCGGAAATCTTAACATCGAGGGTTCGTATGCTCCATGGGAAGATGCATCTTTTGAATATCCATCAAACTTGGCTTCTCCACTGCAAATACTTATTGATGCYAGCAATGGTGCRTCAGATTATGGGAACAAATTTGGGGAGCCATTGATTCAGGGGTACACAAGAGCGTTTGGAATGAGACTCCCGAGTGGGGAGAGACGGGAATGGTTGAAGCCAATCATGTTTAGTGCTGGAATTGGGCAAATCGATCACACCCATATCACAAAAGGGGAACCTGAAATCGGGATGCTGGTCGTAAAGATCGGTGGTCCAGCTTATCGAATTGGAATGGGAGGTGGTGCAGCTTCGAGCATGGTTAGTGGTCAGAATGATGCAGAGCTCGATTTTAACGCTGTACAGCGTGGAGATGCGGAGATGGCGCAGAAATTGTATCGAGTCGTGCGTGCTTGCATTGAAATGGGCAAGGATAATCCGATTATAAGTATACACGATCAGGGTGCGGGTGGTAACTGTAATGTTGTTAAAGAAATTATCCACCCAAAAGGTGCTACAATCGATATTAGGGCTATTGTGGTCGGTGATCACACAATGTCCGTTTTGGAGATATGGGGTGCAGAATATCAGGAGCAGGATGCGATTTTGGTGAATGCCAAAAGCCGGGAACTACTGGAATCTATCTGTAAACGAGAAAGGGTGTCTATGGCTGTTATTGGAACTATAAGTGGTGAAGGGTTTGTGCGCTTAATTGACAGCCACGCTATCGAAAAACCACCTGCGGTTGATCTTGAGCTCGAAAAAGTTCTTGGAGACATGCCTCAGAAAACATTCGAGTTTCATCGTGTAAAAGATGCACGAGAACCACTTGATATTGCTCCCGGGATTACATTGATGGATTCTCTCAAGAGGGTATTACGACTTCCATCAATCTGTTCGAAACGCTTCTTGACAACTAAAGTCGATAGGTGCGTAACAGGTCTCGTGGCGCAGCAACAAACCGTGGGCCCCTTGCAGATTACTCTTGCCGACGTGGCGGTTATTGCCCAAACGTATACCGATTATACCGGAGGTGCGTGTGCCATCGGGGAGCAACCAATCAAAGGTTTGCTGGATCCAAAGGCAATGGCTCGTTTAGCGGTTGGAGAAGCACTTACAAATCTCGTGTGGGCGAAAATTACTTCTTTGAGTGATGTCAAAGCGAGTGGGAACTGGATGTATGCCGCCAAACTTGATGGTGAAGGGGCGGCAATGTATGATGCTGCCATTGCTCTTTCGGAAGCTATGGTGGAACTTGGTATCGCCATTGATGGCGGGAAAGACAGTCTTTCAATGGCCGCACGGGCAGGTGGAGAAGTGGTTAAGGCTCCCGGGAATCTTGTTATTAGTGCGTATGCTACTTGTTCGGATATTACGAAAACTGTGACCGCTGATTTGAAGCTTAAAGATGAAGGCATACTGCTTCATATTGATTTGGCAAAAGGAAAGCGTCGCTTAGGTGGTTCGGCTCTTGCTCAGGTACTTTTTTCCAGGGTTATTTAGCTACAAGACCCGGTGATTGATGTGTTTTTAAATGCATGACTTTTTGATAGATTTAAGAACGAATTTGCTTTTAACATAAAAATGTTACTTTTTAACACAAAAAAGCCTCAAAATATGTCAGAAAGGTCATTCAGCTAATGGTTCCAACTATTACTAAACCATGGTATGTTGACCATCGTGCAGGTGTTTGACCAAATTGGGGACGAATGTCCCGATGTCGATGATGTTGGTTACCTGAAAACAGTTTTCGAGGTGGTTCAAGATCTTCTAACCGATGAGTTGATCTCGGCTGGTCATGATATCAGTGACGGTGGGCTTATTGTCAGTGTTCTTGAGATGGCTTTTGCCGGAAACTGTGGTGCTCAGATCAGTTTGAATTCACAAGGAAAGAGTGTATTCGAAACATTATTCGCGGAAGAACTCGGGCTTATTCTCGAGATTAGCAAGGCRAACCTGGATACGGTGGCAACGATTCTCGGGAATCGTGGAGTTTCGGCGGAGATCATAGGACAAGTGACAACTGAACCAATAATTGGATTAAACATCGATGGGATAACTCATTTAGATGAGAAAATGACCGATGTTAGAGACATTTGGGAAGAAACCAGTTTCCATCTYGAAAAATTCCAACGATTGGCGTCTTCTGTGACCGCSGAGAAGGAAGGATTGAAAAATCGGCGCGAACCATCATGGCAGTTGTCGTTCACTCCGACATTCACCGAGAAGAAATACCTGAATGCCATCACGAAACCGAAAGTGGCGGTGATTCGAGAGGAGGGGAGCAACGGTGACCGAGAAATGTCCGCCGCATTATTCGCTTCTGGTTTCGAACCGTGGGACGTCAGTATGTCGGACCTTCTTACCGGGTCCATCTCGTTGTCCGATTTTAACGGAATCGTGTTCGTGGGCGGTTTTAGTTATGCTGATGTGCTCGATTCTGCAAAAGGCTGGGCCGCTTCTATACGGTTTAACCAGCCGCTTTTAAACCAGTTTGACGAGTTCTACAACCGTGAAAACACCTTTAGTCTCGGCGTTTGCAACGGGTGCCAACTCATGGCTCTATTAGGTTGGATCCCCGGCCCTCAAGTCGGTGGAGCCATGGCCAACAGTGGTGACACGTCGCAGCCGAGATTCGTGCACAACCAGTCAGGCCGGTTCGAATGCCGATTCACGGGGGTAACCATAAAAGAATCTCCAGCCATAATGCTCAAAGGGATGGAAGGTAGCACATTGGGTGTTTGGGCTGCACATGGAGAAGGAAAAGCTTACTTTCCGGATAACGGGGTTCTTGATGGGATCTTATCTTCGGATTTGGCTCCGGTGAGGTATTGTGATGATGATGGGAAACCGACAGAAACATACCCGTTTAATCCAAACGGTTCTCCGCTGGGCGTGGCGGCAATTTGCTCGGCAGATGGGCGGCATCTGGCGATGATGCCGCACCCGGAGCGGTGTTTTTTGATGTGGCAATTCCCGTGGTACCCGAAGCATTGGGATGTCGAAAAGAAAGGACCGAGCCCGTGGTTGAAGATGTTCCAGAATGCTCGAGAATGGTGTTCTTGAGAGGTTAGCTTTCTCGGAATTTAGGGTTCTTATTTGGTATGAATAAATGGATGATTACTGAACTTCAAGTAAGGTTTCATTTTTGTGTTTATCACATGATACTGGTTTAAATATAGGTGTTGAGAACCAGTAACCATGTTTTTTTTACAATGTGAAAAAAATTACATATATTTTCTATATGTATTGTTTCACAACGTGAAATAACGACAACGTTTTCTTTTTTCTAAATCCGTATAACAACATGAATGTTAGTGAGTTAAGATTACGTGAGATTAACATGTTTTCGTGAGACCCATGAGACCATTTTTTTACATTTAAAACTTTATTTGCTGTGAAGGTTCGAAATCTTTTTACCTTTACAGTGTTTTGCTGTGAAGTTTTACGTGAAACCAATCCCTCTCTATATATAATATTCAACCAACTTACAAACTGTTTTGTCATTATTAGAGAAACGAACTACTGACGTAGAATATATGAACATCTTCATCAAGATAATCATACAAAGAACGTGATTATATCTTTACAACAGTAAAAAAAGGTCGTCTTATAATCAATTTTGGGGCCATTTACCAATTTTTTTGGTTAATGCTGATTCGGTAAGAGGTCTGACTGTAGTAAGAGGTCTGATTGGAATAAGGGGTTGTTTACCCAAATGCTTACTCGGTAAGTGCTTACCGATACGAGTCAACATTGTAATTAATTTTGATGCGGAAGATTTTAATACATCAAATCATATTGAATGCTAACAATTTACTGGGTAAGCGCTTACCTGTGTAAGAGTCGTCATCTTCACTTACCGGGTAAGACTCTCCATCATTCTCATCGCTCTTACCCGGTAAGATTTTTGACCCTTGTCATGTTCATCCGCTGAAGAAATTTATCCGTTAACCACTTACCAACTTAATTGGTACAAGTTAGTATTGTTATTGTACTGGCATCACAAACCTATACATTTGAATATGTAAAAACATTAAAAAAAACATGATCAATGCTCATGTATACCATAACTTAAATGTGGAATCGCCTATATGTAACATATACGATGGAATATGATCGACTTGTAAGTACAATGGCAGGGCAAAGGTTGATATTGCAAACTTAAACTAAACGTACAAGTCGAGTATGATCCTCTACTCCTTAGGGGTATTTTTCAGTCCCTAGATACAAGTACACGGGTACACGCACACACAAAATGTCTTGCATAATCATAGGTATGAAAACTGGATAACAAACTAAATTTATCTGATCACATAGCTTGAAGTCTTTAGCGGAAGCACAATAACATTGACATTGTCAATACCAACTATAAGAAATGAGCTTCAAATGAATATAAACAAAATCATAGAAAGACTATTTGATAAGTTTATAAAGAGCTTGACTTCAAAGGTCAAAAGTATCAGGAGGTCTCAGGTTAAAATCCAATGAGGAATAAAAAATCCCCTTGTGGCCACGGAGGTTCAAATGCGGTGATTCCGGGCTATCTGTAAAGCAGGTGGTCGCCCTGTGATTAGTCGGCTCGCATAACGGGTTGGATATCCAGGTTAATAAAAAAGAAGAAGAGAGAACTGGTCATTTAAGATTATGGTCATTCGAAATGGAATGACATTTTAAAATGAATATGAATACAAGGATGCAACGATGAAGAAAACCATTTGAACTCAAACTTGTACATGGATAGGAAGAAAATGCTTCTTGTAATGAAGAACCCTCTTTAGAAATGAATATCATGGTATGGTTTTTATTGTTGAATAAAATGACGAGAAGGAGAAGGCAATAATGAAGAACGCAATGTAGAAGTTGTATTGTCGGATAAAATGATGGGGGAGAGAGATCAGTAGTGGCAACGAAAACGAGGAGTCATGGGAGAGCAAGAGAGTAGCAACGATGGGTTAAAGAGTTAGAGTTAAGGAGTCAAGTAAGAACTGGAAATCGGCGTATCCCAATCCTCCAGCTTTCAAGCAGTTCAGAAGATTCATCAAAAAATGGTAAAAGACGGCATAAAACTAAAAGTATAAAAGTTTAGGTTGTTTGTTGTACGATAGGAATTATAACATTGATTAATTAATAGTTAACTTTATATATACATAGGGAGTTTCAAATGTCATTCTTACAAATCATACAAACCAATCAATTAAGAAATCTATGAAAATAATGAAGATTCATTTATTGTGATTTGAATATTTATGGAAAATAATTACAGTTCATTAATTATGATTTAACAATCTCTCTCTCTATATATATATATACACACACACATATATATATATATATAGAGAGAGAGAGAGAGAGAGAGGTGTGTTATTATACAACCCCTTGCATTTGTGCAATCAATACAACTCAATCTCAACCGTTCATTTAATTTGATGAATATGTAATTTCATGAAAGTTTTCATTGTTTCCTAATATTAAGAATTGATCATAATTAATGAACCTTATTCATCTTCCATAAATATTTAAATAATAATAAATGAACTCTCATCATTTTCATAAATATTTCAATTTATTGGGTTGTATTGATTGTGCAAATGTGATGAGTTGCATATATATATATATATTTTAAAGGAAAACCCAAGAGGTATTGAAGTGTCATCATGAGAATTGAGTATTAAGGTGTTTGGTGAATTGTGGTTGAATTTGAAATATCCCACATTGGTGAGAAATTAGAAGATTGGGATAAAGATGTATGTATAAGAAAGAAGATGAGATTCATTGTGTCAACTCATGGGGCCTATTTTTGCAAAACGAATCTTATTATATAAAAATAAATATGAATTGTGTTTATAATCATATATATATATATATATATATATATATATATATATATATATAGTTTGTTTCAAATAAAACCCATTGCATTTGTACAACCAATGCAACCCAATAAATTGAGATATTTATGGAAATGATGAGAGTTCATTTATTATGATTTGAATATTTATGAAAGATGAACAAGATACATTAATTATGATCAATATTTTATATTAGAAAACAATCAAAATTTCTATAAAATCACATATTTATCAAATGAAATGGACGGTTGGAATTGAGTTGTATTGGTTGCACAAATGTCAAGGGTTGTATAATAACCAACTTCTCTCTCTCTCTCTCTCTCTCTATATATATATATATATATATATATAT